CCCTCCTATCACCACCACACCCTCCTATCACTACCACACCCTCCTCCACAACCAACCCAAACATCCACCACACCACACCCACACCCTCCACCACACCCACACACACCACACCCACACCCTCCACCACACCCACACACATCACCCACCACCACACCCACACCCTCCACCACACCCACCACAGGTATAAGTGAGAATATGATGCTCTTATTGGCTGCCTTAGTGAACTCTGACCTTCTCTCGCTCATGACCGCTCACTCTTCTTGATACAATTTCCTGTCAGACAAAAACAAAAGAAAAACCGGATGTGTGTATTCGCTGTGTCTGTGTGTGGTGTTTTTTTACTCAGGAATTTTACCGCTGCTTGTTGGGTGGCCGGAAGTAAGAGGAAACCAAGGTAATAAACATACATAAATACATACATACAAACATATATACATACATACACCTAACGCACATCATGGTTGCCCCTTGTATAACGAGGATGGCCGGTCCTAGGGCCAATTGGGCGTGAATTTGTTGAAGGTGTTGGAAGCTGTCACCAACACATCAACCACACCCTGAGTTAACGAGTTGCATAACCCAGTGTCAAGGAACAGTCCGAGAAGACCGGACAACTCGCCAACTGTACTGGCTAACCATTACCCCGGAACACGATCCACAAATCGATTAACATCCAGGTTCCCAATTACAGCTGGGTAGACAGAGGCAAATGGCGTAAAGAAACTTGCCCATGGTTTCACCCTGTACAAACACACACACACACACATATTCACACACACACACACATATTCACCCATGACTGCAGTAAAACAAGTGTTCTACTATACGGCGCCGCCCAATCAAAACAAGCCCACTGCTGACCCTTCCCACCTAACCTAACCTAACCTAACCCAACCCAACCTAACCGCCAGCTCCACACCTAAAGATCGCAAAATCAATCACAGGTAAAACAGGTAAGTAGCTATAAATCAATCACAGGTGATACAGGCTCATAAATCAATCACACGTTACGCAGGTATGTGAGAGAAACAGAGAGAGAGAGGAAGGGAGAAACAGTGAGACAGAGAGAGACAGAGAAAGAGAGACAGAGAGAGAGGAAGGGAGAAACAGTGAGACAGAGAGAGACAGAGAAAGAGAGACAGAGAGACTGAAAGAAAGAGAGTCGGTGAAACAGTGAGAAGAAACAGAGAGACAGAGGGGCCACAGAAAGAAGAGAGTCAGTGAAACAGTGAGAAGAAACAGAGACAAATAATTATACAGAGACAGAGAAAAGAGACAGAGACAGACAGATGAATGCTTTTCTCTCGCTGGAGTGTTAACCTCTAGGGAGGAGGGAGGGCCTGGCTTTTTCCTTTCTGGGCTGAGGACCTGAAGGAGTGGGGGGGGTGACATACTGGAGTGATCGGGGGGTGACATACTAGGTGACAATATAAATCCCTTAAAGACAATATAATCCTCTTAAAATCAACGTAAATCCCTTAAAATCAATACCAGTTCCTTAAAGACAGTGACGGGCCCTCTCTTGTGTAATGCCAATCAAATGTATACAATAAAACCGATCCACACCACTCCCTAATGGGGCCTTGTGTCTTGTATCTATAAATGCTACCCGAACCTCTATCTTCCAGGGTCTCAAGGTATGTACGATTGATCTTTTAACCAGACCAACCACCACCAATCAGGGCCTCGAGTCCATCTGTATGGGAGGGAGGGAGGGAGGGAGGGGGGGGGGGTGAAGTTTAAATACCAAACCAGGCTTTTAAAACGAAGTATAAACAGAATTCTTAGAAGGTAAAAAAAAAATGGTGTTAAGTTATAGAGTCCCTTAGCAGCCAGCAAGGAGAGACAGAAACAAAGGAATTTATCATTTAGTGGACAAGTTAGATTTACATTAACAGTACATCTTTGGTACTTAAAACCTCTCTTACTGCAGCTGAGATAAGACTAATGAACCTACATCTGTTCTAACTTAAAACTGGTCCAAGGTTGGCTGTACTAGAGGGGACCTTTGAGAAAAAAGGACAGATATTACAAGTAAACATTATAATAATTGTTACCTGGAGTTAATTACCTACTACTGGAAGGTGACACAAACACTCGTATATAACTCAGGGGAATTATCGACCCCTTGACAGACCTAAATTGACTAGGGCAGTGAGGGGGGTGGGGGCTATAATGGTATCAATATGACTTGTTATCTGGGCACTAATTGTCTAAATACAGGCGTAGACGGATAGACGGACGGACAGATGGACGGCTGGACAGACGGACAACAGAAGGAAGGTTATATAACCAACCTCAGCCAGGACACAGTGGTCGGAGTTTCACTAACAGTACAGAATCTTGGTGACCAGAACAAAAGTCTATAATTTTTTTAAACCTTTCAATTCTGTCTGATTTAGAATATCATTTTGTTGTTACTCAGAAGAATGAAAAGTCTTTGGCCACCTTCACTATGTATGGCTTCAGGGCTTAGTTCTTGGTTTAATTTTTTCTAACGTTCGTACACTGGTTTCCCTCGTGGCTGGAGATGCAAGAACGTATCAAACTGGTAAACTTTCTTCTTAATGAATAAAAACCCGAGGGAGAAATCAGACAAGTGCCGGTATCATATATGAGGTATCGTATATCTACCGAGGCGTCATCCCCCTGTCACTGTCTGAAGGTATTTAAAGAAAAACACTAAGACTCGGATTTCCATTGTGGTAGTCTGGGGGTATGAAGGAGTTTTGTTTGGTAAAGGTTCTACAGAATGGAATTTCAACCTAAAAGATCTGGGCAATTTCAGATGCTTTCATGGATCGAATGAGGGAACGGGGTGGTGGTGGTGCGTGGTGGTAGTGATAGTGACGGTTCGTGCGTTATAGTGATCCGTGGTGATAAAGGTGGTAGTGATAGTGGTGGTGGTGGTGGTGATGATAGTGGTGGCAGTGATGGTGGTGGCACAATAAATATAACCCTTCAGAACATTGATTGTAGAAATGTTTATATGAAAGGAAAATAATAACTGCGAATTTACAATACTGAACATAAAAACACTACAACGTCCGAAATAACTTCAACATTACACTGAGACTCTACCTTAACTAGATACGTTCACTTAGCACCAGTAAAGAGACAACATTACACTGAGACTCTACCTTAACTAGATACGTTCACTGAGCACCAGTTAAGACACAACATTACACTGAAGACTCTGCCAACTAGATACGTTTTTGAGCACCAATAAGACACAAATTCAGGTTCAGAATCTTCGCAAATCCGTATCCAGATGTTTGAAGAAAGTAAGAAAACTGATTCAAGGTGTGAAGAACTTTTTTTTAGAAACGAGTGACTGAACCCGCTAGAAACTTCTCATATTTTTAGTGTGTGTTGGCGTGACTAGACACTACAACCCTGTCCACACCTGCAGGGCTCAAGAGGCAGCGTTTGCAGCGTGGGCGTTTAGGTGTAACAGGATATGCTACATAATTTCCACACCTGTTAAACAAGAGGCAGGCAAATACTCGTAGTGTGTGTGTGTGTGTGTGTGTGTGTGTGTGTGTGTGTGCGTGTGTGTAGACGATATAAGCCTCACTACAATTTCTTATTCACATCTGCTTGACAAAAGGCAGATGTGTATGCAGATGTGTGAGTGTGTGTGAGTGAGACAAGACATACTCATACTCCAAAATTACGTCCACACCTGCTTGACACGACGCAGGTGTGTAAGACAAGTATAAGTAAGCGAAATCCCCAAACTACAAAAGTTTTCACCAACCTAAAAGACAAAACCCGGGTGTATGGCATATATGTAAGCAAAAAAAGACTTGCAACATACTTTCCACACCTGGTACAACACGAAACAGATGTGTAAGACATCATACCTAAAATATAAACAGGTGTGTGGCATCAATTTAGACAGAAATAGACTTACTACACACTTTCCACACCAGCTACAACAGAAAACACACGTGTAAGACGTCATACAGTACATAAGACATAGACAGGTGTCTTCAAGAGGTATATACAGTCGTAGTAACAACAGACAGACAGACAGACAGACAGAAGACCTACACAATAAACCTCACGAAAGAATTTGAAGAACCAGAAGATCATATGAAAGTCTGTGAATATGTTTTCTTTACAGACCACAGACCACAGAGAAGTGAAGACGAGGTGAGGTGCATTATCCCAGCTGAGGTGCGGCCGAGTGATGTGAGTTAGCCAGCCAGCCTGAGGGTCAATGCTCAAATCTTCCCTCTGGCTTAATACGGGTCTATAATAATCAACTGGGTTTTTTGCTGTACTTTGTGAAATATTTTAATCTTTGATAGAATTTTGAAGTTTTTATTTGATTTGATTTCAAAAGCATCAGTTACTATTAAAACATTTGTAGCGTTATAATCATTTTTTCTTCTTTAAATTTTTGCAGTAATGTAATTTTAAAAGGAGTATTTTTTATCAATGAAAAATATGATGTTTGTGGCATATTGTAAGCCTTGATGTAATTTGGTATCTTTTTCGTAAGCCTCTGATACTGTTAAGAATTTTAATGTATTTTTCAACACTCCATGATAAAATTTTGCAACTACTTTTTCGTCGGTATAACAAGTGACGTTTATGGACTATAATGATCATTCAACATTAACCAACTTTGAAACACACAGCTCAACAAACGTCTTTCAGAACAGATTTAAATATCATAATTGACTTAGATTTTTTTCCATTAGTGACAGGACAGGTAAGAACCTTCCACAACATACTCCAGACATACTTCACTATCTACTGGTGTAAGTGACATGCAGGGTTAGTAAACGACTAAAGAGGTCCGCTAATGTTTGGTCAGTCAGAGTGGTGTAAATCTATTAGCATAATATATAGTCTATGATATGGGTGGGTGGAGCTCGTGGGTATTACACTGTCATGGTCTAATAAGCGATTCTTTGGTTAATATAGCACAAATATACACAAGAACAGCAGCGTGGGGAAAATTATTGAAATATTTTACAAATACTCAC